ACAAGAACGACTCCCACTAGCAATTAGCAGTGATTAATGTTGGAGTCCACTGCAGCCTGGAGGAAGCTCTACAGGAGGGTGGGCATTGCTGGTATATTCATGGCCTTGGCACAGGTGCTGAGCCCCAGCATGGGACTCCCAGACTCTTGTCAGTATTCTGGGATGATTGGGATTGGGCAGAGGGCATGGTGGAATGGCGGGCTGGGATCAGAAGCCACCATGCACCATGGCTCCTCCAGTCTCACACACACACACACACACACACACACACACACACACACACACACACACACACACTGAACATACAGACACAGACAGATCCAAGCTCTGATTGTCTGGGAAGTTTATCAGTCCTTGGGATATGTCAGGCAGAGTCCTTCTAGCTACACAACATTCACTTCACATCCCAGGGAGATCAGGATTCATTTGCCCAGGGATTTGAGACCCCAAAGTTGGTGACAGACACTCTTCTTGTCTTTGCTGTGTACCTCAGTTTCCATAACTGGGACAATGGGAGCCACCATGAGGCCAGGGGCTAGGGAGTTATTTGGCATCGAATCCCTGCTGCCATTCTGGGTCAGTCCATTCACCGCTGTCTCCTGGGCCCACAGATGTACACACCTAATGCCAAAGGCCTGGTAATCTTCACACACACAGCCCCACTTAGGGAGCCCTCTAGACAGCCCCTACAAAATTGTGTCACTGACCTGTGTGTGCATACAGAGAGAGAGAGAGAGAGAGAGAGAGAGAGAGAGAGAGAGAGAGAGAGAGAGTTGGATGTCTTCAGTTCCAAAGACCTTAGTGCTCCATTAGGGGTGGGACACCCTCAGCCTTAGGAACAAAAATCCTAGCCATCACTTAATGTCATTACTAGGTTCCATTCCCCCACATCCCTTGGGAAGTGCACACCTTGCTTCTGTCCATCATTCTAGCTGCCAGCCTCTAGGCACCCTGCCATTCCTTCCTGAGTTTCCTCTCCCATTCCCCTCTCTGCTCAGATTGCCACCTGCTAGGGCCTGTGGCTGGTTGCAGTGAGGTAGAGCCTCCTCTAGGGGGATCCTGGGTTCTCCCTGAGGAACCAGAAGGTTTGAAGCTATGAACGTAAAAGAACACCTAGGATTCTGCTCCATGTGCCTACATGCTGTCTATCACACCCTCCCATGCTCAGATTGACAGGTGAGGAAATTGAGATGCAGAGACCCTGGTTGTCACACAGAAGCCCAGGCCAGGAGGACCCAAGCGTCTTTAATGAGCCCTATAGCTACAGTGTCCTCACTCCATATGCCATGCTACCAGGAACAACCTCACATCCCCATAGCTTTATTTCCTATGCCCGCTAACCCCAGGACTCAGACTATGGGGAACCTGGGCGCACGTGCCGCCGATCACCAACACAGACGAGAAAGGGGTTTCCACGTGCTCACTCCAATCATGATTCTTTGGCCCACAAGCAGCAAAGTCACGGTGTCTGCATTTCAGTGGCTGTCAATGGTCACCTACTAACCCCACCTACCCAAGAGGAGCAATCACACCCAGAAATGCCAGCAGGTTTAAACAGGCCACTCAGTAACCTGCAGGGGTGACCACACGGAGCCCATCTGACCATTCACAACAGATCCACACACCATCAGTGTCAACTTTGGCCTCGGGGTCTTTATCCAGGCATTAGTGTCTGCCCCTGCCCAGCTCTCCTTGCCATCCTACCTCCCCTGCCTTCGCTGAACACAAGCTTTATCTACAGGGTAGAGATGTAAGGTAGGCCCTCGCAGCAACTCAATTATGCCTCCATCGGAAAGCCTAACACAATCAATTCAGGGAGCAAGCTGACATCATAACACAGTAATTAGGAACAACTTCCAACCCAGGGCTTCCTTTGAAGATCGTAATTGCAATTAATTAAACATCCTCACTGCTCCTCAGAATCTGCTCCTGAGGAAACCTGGGGAGGTGGGTCCCGCCTCTATTCCTAGCATCCTGGGAGTCAAAGCATGGACCAGTGTCCTTTGACTATGGCAAGCCATGGGGTCATCTGGAGCAGCTGTGAGGTGGAGGAGACCCGGCCTCTTGGTTCTGCATCTGTACCCTGGACTCCTCCCTCCCACCCTCCCTTCTCTGCCATTCCCAGAATGGAAAGGACCCAGGATGCCCTGCCTTGGCTCTGAAAGGTGATATACCAGATCATATGACTGCTCATGGTACTAACCGAGCACCTGCTGTGTGCGTTTCTGCTGTGTGTGTACATGTGCGTGTGCGTGTGCGTGTGTGTGTGTGTGTGTGTGTGTGTACACACCAGGACAGAGATCCTACCACAGCAGGATGGGCGTTTCATCCAGGGGTCGGATCCCCCATTGGGTAGGTGCATGCATCCTGAGGCTGAACTGGATACACATCAGGCAACTCAGACTCCAAGAGGGGAGAATGAGGGGCCCTGAGAGACACTGCTGCAGTTGGGTCAGAGGACTAGCTAGACCTTAATATATAGGAACATACAAGGGACAGCTTAGGAACCCCAGTGTGGCTCAGCACCCTAGCTCCAGAAGGTGGGGATGAAGTGCCACTATTCAAGGCCAAGCTCTACAACCCTAGAAGAGATACTTTCCCTGACTTCTGAAGATAATTTGAGAGCTTGTTTGGGTTTTGAGATGTCTGTCTGTCTGTCTGTCTGTCTGTCTGAGACAAGGTATCACTATGCACCCCTGACTGGCCTGAAACTCGCTCTCACAGAGATCTGCTGCCTCTGCCTTTCAAGCTCTGGAATTTAAGACATGTGCCACTATGCCTGGCCTCCGTTGAGACCTTATGGTGGCTGACTTTGTCAACTTGACACAAACTGAGACTCACCTAGGACAAAAGAGGGTCTCAATGACAGGGTTGCCTACACAGATTGACCTGTGGCTTGTGTGGCACATGGGAGAGTTGTCTGAATTAAGTTCTTTGATGTGGGATGATCCAGCCTACTGTAGGCAGCTCCATCCCCTAGGCAGGGGCCTGACTGTGCAACAGTGGAGGACTGAGCCGAGCACAAGTAAACAAGCAGTCTTTCTGTTCTTGTCTGTGGCTGTGATGTGACTGACTGTCCCCACAATGATGGGATGCAACCTAGAACTGCTCACTGAATAAACCCTTTCTCCCCTAAGTTGCTTTTTGTCAGAATTTTATCACAGCAATAGAAATGAAACTAGGACATGCCTCATATGTGTATGATCCAGAAATCATGAGACTTGGAAGGCAGACAGCTAGAGGCAGCATCAGTGCTAGAGAGGAGGGGTCAAGAGTTCCAGAAGATGAAGCTCAGGAAAAGTCATGCTGGTGGCCATAGCAAAAAACAGCGCTGTGAGTGCTCCCCCTGACAGTAATGTGAGTGCTCCCCTGACAGCACTGCGAGTGCTCCCCTAACAGCACTGTGAGTGCTCCCCTGACAGTAATGTGAGTGCTCCCCTGACAGCAATGTGCTCCCCTGACAGCACTGTGAGTGCTCCCCGGCATAGCTGCGAGTGCTCCCCTGACAGTAATGTGAGTGCTCCCCTGACAGTGATGCGAGTGCTCCCCTAACAGCACTGTGAGTGCTCCCCTGACAGCGCTGTGGGTGCTCCCCTGACAGCGCTGTGAGTGCTCCCCCTGTATCGTAAGAACAGGAGAAGCTGAGATCAGGAAGGGCTGCCCAAGATTTCCCACCTCCGCACCCCACCTGAGAGTTCCTAGAGGCTGAAGCAGCCTTGACACTGCTCAGCACACATGCCTGGGTGTTTGGCCAGGCTTTACACAAACTCCATAGCTTTGGGGGAGGCACAGGGGAAGGTGGGGGACTTAGCAGGAGCTGGCCATGGAGTCACACCCTTGAACTTCTTGCCTGGGCTCAGCCCCCATCCCCCTTTCCGACCTTCCCCGCTGTGGACAGACCCCTAGAGAGACAGTGATTAAGTGTGTCACTTGCTGTCCCTGGGGGCAGGGCTCTGCGGCATACCCAGTATTTCCCTGCCTTCCTGCCAAGGGGCCTGACCCAGGTGGTTCAGACTAGTGTCACCTGGTGAGTGGGACTCCCTGGACATGGAAACACTTCCACCACAGCCGCCATAGCCCCACGCTGTCTCTGGTACTGTGCTGCCTCCTGCCCCCTCCCCCTTCTCCCCTTTCTCCTCCTCCTTCCCCTGCTTCTCCCCCTCATCCCCTTAAGTGAACATTCCGTCTAAGTTGTTCTGCCAGCTCTTGGGAAAAAAAATTTTTTTCTCCCCAGCACTGGGAAATTATAAATAACTCCTGGATTAGAAGAAACAAACAAAAGCAGAAACAAGATCCGAGTCTAGATGCTCTTGTGTGGGAACGGGCCTGCAGCCCACCAGCCCCTGTATACTGGAGCCCAAAGCCTCCCAATAGGTGGGAGTCACTAAAGGCGACTGGGCCTTGCTACTTGATGTCCCACGACTTAGAGAAGCCACCGGGGGCTAGGCACTCCTTCCCTGTAGACCACTTATTGACTCGGACTCCTGCCTGGAGTTTGCAACCTAGAAAGGGACAAGTTGGAAGCCCTGGTCACATTAACCACATTCCAGGAAATCCATCAGATTTTCAAGGGAGACATAAGCAGCACCCTCTGGGAGGGGACAAAGAGGAAGGCAGGTTGGAGGCTCTTAGAACTGCTTCCTAACACTGCCTGCACTCCCCATGCTAACACTCTATCCTCTCCAGCCGCTGTCATGGAAACCAGAGATGCTGTGGCACTTGGAGCGATGCACACACAGACAGACAGCATCCAGCTACTCCTTGGAGGCCAGGCTGTCCTCGCCTTCCTATCTGCCAGGTGAGGTCGTAACTTCCCATCCTGGAGCTGCATGATGAGAGAGCCAACACTGGCGTGGAGGGTTTGACCTCCCACCTTCTCGCAGCCTGGATCACCTTTTTCATCTGGCTTGCAGACTCACTAGGCAGTTGAGTTCGTGCAGGCATCGTGTCCTGTGCCCCTTTCCCGACTTCCCTGGCGCAAGGTGCAGTCGGGACCAAGGGACAGGAGAGGCAAAGGCTTTATTCGCTGTCGCGACCGAGGGCTCGCCAAGCAGGACGGCCCGCCTCGGGCGGGAAGGCAGTGGCTGCAGGCGCCAGCAGCACCAAGCCAGGTGGCCGGCCTGCACCTGCATAGCTCAGCGCCAGGCGCTCCAGGCGTCGCTTGCGCTCGGCCGCCTGAGCGGTGGCATGCAGGGGTCGCAGCAGCGCAGGGGGCGGTGCGCCAGGGCCGCGCAGCAGGAAGTCAAAGCCTGCTCGGTCCCGAGGGTCGTAGAAGAGCGGCCCGGTGGCCGGGTCGGGCCCTGGCGGCCAGGCGAATGGAAAGGGCAGCGTGAAATCCTCTGTGAGCACGCGGATGGCAAAGTCGTCCTCCTTGCCCAGCGCACGGTAGGCGCGCCCGATGCCGCGGAAATGCGCCTCCCAGAGCTGCGCGTCGCCGCCGTAGATGTCAGGAAAGCGCGGTGCTGGGGGCGCAGCTGGACCTGTGAGTGTGACAGTCAGCGGGGGTCCCATGCCCATCTCCACACGGGGAGGCTAGGGGCACAGGACACGGAAGGAAAGGCCATCCGGACGGAAGAACCAGGTGAGGGCCATTCGGGAGTGAGAGCTGCCCCCCCCCCAACACCGAGGACAGAACCAAAGCTGGGCTGAGGCTAGGCCGAGGCTCTCAAGCCTCAATGGGACCAAGGTGGCCTGCCTCTATTTCTGACTCTTTTGCTGTCTCCTTCGTCCCTTCTCCCTCCAAATGGGGAAGTTGTCCACTTTGCTGAGGGACAGCATCAACAGACTGATGAGGCCAACAAGGTCCTGAGAGTATGAAAAAGTCAGGACCCTGGCCAGGCAGCTCAAGATGGTAGGAGTCACCCAGCAGGTGGTGGGCAGGCCCCAGCTGGGGCAGAAGGTGACTGAGTCACTCAGTAGAAAGCACCCTGGCTGCTGTGGATACAGTAGATTCTTACATAGTGTTCTTACTGAGCACTATGTGCAGTGAGGCTCACAGTCATGAGCCAGCCGACTAAACCTGGTTTTCCACCTTCCGATAGGCAAATGCCATCTTCAGTCGGAACCTTGGGCAACACTAGGGGTGTTAGGTTATGCCAGGAAGAGAGATGAAGTAGGAATGATGTGCCTAGCCCAATAGGCTAGGCCAGGCCTGCGGATGGCTGCACCTTCAGTGTTCAGCTCAGAAGGTCAATGAGGTCCTTGCAGCCTATCCTGTCTCCCTGCTGTCCGAAGCCCCAGTCTTACTGCTCAGTACCAGGGTGGTAGGTGGGGTACAGCCACAGAAGGGGCTGTGGGAATTCCTCGAGGTGCTGGTGGAGAAATGTTTTGGTAAAGAGAGAGACGACCGAATCCCAGCCCTGGGCGTGGACAGGCTGGTTTTATCATACTGGCGTTGTTCGAGGTGTCGGATAGGGAGGGGAGTAGCAGGAAGACCCATAAGGCAGCAGCCTCTGGTCTGGGTGAAGGCATCTGGGGCCAAGAGAGCAGTGAAAAGAGCCCTGCTTCTAAAGCTGTCGAAGCTAGTTGGTGTGGAGATGTGGGACACTGTGCAAGAGGGGAACTCCAAGGCCAACAGAAGAGAAGCTGCGAGGCCAGGGAATGGGGAGTTTGATTTGGGGCAGGGTGAAGCCTTCAGATGAACCGGTGGAGAGCTGGAGACAGACCTGGGTAGGGCTGGAGGCAGTATTCAGAGCTAACAGAGTGGATGAAATCACCAGGGGAGGGAGGGAGGGAGGGAGGGAAAGAGGGATGGAGGGAGGGAGTTAAAGAAGAGGAGGGGAAGGCAAGGAGAGGACAGGGGAGGAAGGGAGGGGAGAGGAGGGGAGGGGAGGGGAGGGGAGAACAGGTAGAGGGGAGGGGAGGGGAGGAGAGGGGAGGGGAGGGGAGGGGAGGGGAGAGCAGGTAGAGGGGAGGGGAGGGGAGGTGAGAGCAGGTAGAGGGGAGGGGATCCAGCAGTGCCTTCTGTCCTTGGCAGGTCATGGAGAGGAAAAGCCAGTGAGAGTTACCAAGGAGAGACAGTGATGTAGAAACAGTGTGAGCGATTCTGGAAGCCAGAGAGGGCCTGAGTCACATGCTGTCAGTGGGTCACACTCAAATGAGGCCTGAGAGCTGGCCTCAGATTTAGCATCATGGAGGTCATAGGTGACCTTGACCTGTGAGCTGCTTCAGGAGGAAGTGCAAAAATTAAGCCTGATTGGAGTGGGCTCGGGAGCAAATGGGAGAGAAAGATTGGGAGGCAGCAAGGATAAGTAACCCTGGCAGATTTTATGAATAAGGAGCAGAGAAATGGGGTAGCCACTGCTAGGGGAGCCACCCACCTCTGAGGAGGGCAGCTCCGGGCGTGGCTGTGTAAGAAGGGTGGGCAGCAGGGAGTGCACAGGTGAACAGAGCCAGGGATCTCTACCTGAGTCCTGCTATGATGGCTCCAGCGTCACCGAGAAAGAGGTTCACAGACAGCAGCGGCTGTGCTGAGGAGGGGCTCAGAGAGAGAAGGCCCCTGGCTGTTGCTTAAGACAGAGATCAGGCAACCAAGGAAGTGGCCGGGGACCTGGCCTGGTGGAGGCTGTTGTAAATCAATGAGAGTAAAACCCCTGGTTCTGCAGGCTTCAGAGGACACCGGCAAGGGTGTGGTAGCATGGGGGAGGCGGGCTTGCCAAGCAAGGACAGGAGAAAGCAGAGAAGGCTGGCTGGGAGTGCAAGGAGATGCTTTAAAAGCAGGGTGTGGCTCCCTCAAGAGAAAGAATCCCAAATCCGGAGGTGGATGCAGAGGAGCTGATGCCTGAGCCGTCAATGGAATGACAGGAAAACAGGCAGTGACCAGAGAGGGCTGAGGTCCTAAGGTCCTAGAGGGTTTTAAGGAGGTGTGGCCAGAACAAAGAAGGGCTGGTCTGTTCTCCCCCAGGAGGGCAAAGGAGAGACTGGGAGCAGGAAGGAGCTCTGAGAAAAAGGCCTATGCCCTCAGCTGGCTGGGCCCTACCCCCACTTTCTGGAAGACACCTAAACCACTGCTCCCTGTTCTCAGACCACACACACACACACACACACACACACACACACACACACAACCTCATCATTCAGCCTCCCGTGTCTCACCTGGAGTGGTGACAGGGGGCGGGGGCAGACTAGAGGGGCTGAGATCCGAAGAGCAAGGAGAAGCCATGCCAGAAGCTAGGGTCCCAGTTGTGTTTACTTGGCTGCCCAGGAGACTGGGAGTGGCCTTCTGGAAGACAGAACCTTGCATTTAAAGGGGCCCCATCCGGAAGGGGGCTGAGCCCCAAGGTTGGGGTTCATGGGAGTCGGAAGGTGACTGTGCATCCTGTCTTGTCTCAGCTCAGTCTGGTATTCACATCCCAGCCTGTGCCCACAGGGCTGCTGAGAACTTGACTCCCCTCAGACTACCCTGCCCTGGGTGCCCCAGGAGTGATCCCAGAGCCCAGGAGCCAAACCATCAGCCCCCATCTTCAGTGTGGCTCTGGATTTGAGCCAGACCAAGTCTCCTTGTGTGATAGTGGACACATCACCAGTAGAGGGATCGAGGATGTAGGGCTTGGCATTAAGAAACTGTAGCAGGAACTGCTGCCAGGAACACTGAGCCCTGTGGTGGAGCCTCTCTGTGGCACCACCCTAATGTTCACGGTCCAGGCTAGCCATAATCCCTGAAAGAGACTGGGATGTATCACTCTCCTCCATGAATGCCTGCAGGCTGTAAGAAGGCCCAGAAGCCAAGACAACTTCAGAAAAGCAAATGCCCATGCTTGTAGCTGGGTCTGAAGCCTGGGTAAGGGGAAACCCCACCTCCAGCCATCATGTGAGTGAGCACACTGGTGTTACAAGGCCACACTGATGGATACAGCAGCAATGTAGTGGGAGAATGGGACCACATTCATGGAAGAGTCGCCTGTCCATCATCCCCACCACCACCACCACCACCATCATCGGCAGGGCAAGCCTGCTCTTGTCCCTCAGCACCACTCTCTGTCCCCTCCCAAGAAGCCCCCTGGTCTGCTCTGCACCTCCAAGACTTCATGAAAAGTCACCTGTCTGAACCGGCCCCTCCCTTCATGTCTCCTGATAAGAACTATGTCTTGCCCTAGGCAGCTCATACTAAGACCATTCCCTTTCCTCTGCTCGGTCATGGTGGGAAGGATAAAGTTCAGGTCCTCAATCACCACCCACCTCCCCCTACCTTCCACCAGACTTGTCCCAAAAGAGACCCACAGAGACTGGGCTCTGAGGAGACCCTCACTCACTTCCTGAGCCTCTGTTTTCCTATCTGTAAATTGTGCCAGGAAACAGTCTACCTATGATTTCTCAAGACAGGCAGGCTTTTGAGAAAGGGGTAGAATGCATCTTGCTCCCATGACTTCCCGGCTACCCACGACACTCCACCTAAACCAAGCTTTGACTCTGTGTCCCATGCACGTAATCCCCACATGTAAGCAAGTACCCCCAATACCACATCAGCGTGTCTCCCTGTTCATCTTCCAAAGCCATGGGGCCAGCAGCTCCCATCCTTCCCTGGCCCTGGCATCTACCCACCGCTGGGATTCTACCGACTTCAGATATGCTGTAGGAATGAGACCAGCCATGTGGTCCGCTGTGGCAGCTCTTTTCACTTAGTATGGGGTCTTCAGGGGCAGCCGCATGTCTGAGACATCAGTGTCCCTCCTTAGAGCAGGATGGTATTCCCCTGGGAGCCTAGTCATGTGCCCCCATCCCCAGTCACAGATGGATGCAAGCCGCTCCCACACCCTGGCCCTGTGGCTGCCTTGGCAAGCAAGGGTGACACCTCCTGAGATCCTAATCTTGATGCTTTTGGATGCGTGCCCAGAAGGGTGATTACTGAATCATACGGCGGTGCTATTTTTAATTTTCTGAGGAACCTCCATACTGGTTTCTTCACTGACTGTACCATGTCACACTTCACCCACAGGGCACCCCTGAGTCTTGCTTTCTGACGGTCTGTCCTGATAGGTGAGGACCGACAGCTCACTGTGGCTCTGATAACCCTGCCTGGGTTTCCAGCGATGGAGGCGCCTGTTTGTGTACCCACTAGCCAGGTGTCTGTCCACTCTGGAGAACGCCACCCATGCTGCCACGCCCTTTTGTTGGGGGTTGATCTGTCCATGAGTTGCACATTTACTGTTTGGCTGTAACCCCTTACCAGAGAGACAGTTGCCAGTACCTTCCCCTGACTGGACAATACTGCCTTTTCGTCTTGCTGCGTCCTGTGCTTTGCTGGGTTTTTTGCTTGGACGCTGTCTCCCCCATCCATCTCCATTTACCTGTGCATTTGGGTTCACATCCAGGGAGACCAATGTCAACCCACCAGCACCCCCCCTCGCTCACCCACCCCACCCCCCTCCAGTTTTCTCCCAAATGTCTTCCCAGCCTGAGGCTGAGGTCTCCAGACGGTATGGGCTGGTCAAAGGGGCCCTGAGAAAAGGGGTTCAGGGACATGTCTGCCCTCCATCAACATCAACAACACAGCTCCCCCATCCCTCTCCCACAAGATCCAGCACACTTCAAGGATCTGCAGCCCTAGAACTCAGAGAGGCCAGGACTGGAGGATCCAGGGAGAGATAGGAAAGTGTACTGTGTTTCCTTGGGAAGGAGGCAAATCCCAAGGCCCCTATGTGGCAAGGGAAAACAAAACAAAAAAAGCCAGCTTCACTAGAACACTGATGGGCCTGGGACCAGCCAGGGGTTAGTTACTCTGCTAGGGGAATCAGTATGCAAGGGTTTTGGGGTGGGGGGAGACAAGACAAAACCACACCAATTCCACCTAAGGTGGTTAAGACCTGGACTCCCAGCCCACAACGCCCCCCCGCCCCGCCCACTGCTGGCGTGGAGCCTGAGAGTGCACTGTGGGTAAGCAGCTCACTATAGGAGCTCCAGGGTTGCAGGCAGACTCATCAGAGTCCCAGGCTTTACATCCCCTCCTCACACTCCCCCCTCTGCAGCCCTCTGACCACAGTCCTGTCTGTGACCACAGCGCCACCTACTGGCTGATTGAGGGAGCTGGGAAGCCCAGCCTGAGACACTGAGGCAGGATGAGGAGGTTAACACCCAGAAAAGAGGGTGCCAGAGGTCATGAGTCCTCAATCCCACATTGGACTTACTTTGCGGAGGCCTGAGTTTGCATCCTGCTTCTACCACTGACAGCTGTGTGACCTTGAACGATTTATGGCCCTCTCTGAATTTCATCCCAGACCAGGACAGTAGTGTACCGTAATAGGCTTAGCAGCACGGAGGACAGTGACACGCCACAGAACCAGGAAGGGACAGTGTGGGGACTCAAGACAATCTTTCTGCGGCTTTGTTTAGCAACCAACACACAAAAGTTCCTAAAAATTCAGGGATCACCCACGACGCCTGTTGGGCCGGCTCCCACACACCCTTAGTCAAGGGCCCCCAAGCAAAAATCTTCACTGGGGCTCTTGGAGCCACCACACACTAACGAAAGTCGCGGAGCCGGCTGAGCCATGACCTCCCTCGTGAGTGGGTGAGTGTGAGCCTTCTTGCCATGTGAGGAAGTTTCAGGACCTCCAGCAAACCTGGGGCCCCAACTCTGCTGCTGAAACAGAACACACAGCCTGGGGGCTCATGAGCATCGGGAAGTCCAAACCGAGCACAAGGCTTTGCGTCCCACACTTTGTGGGGTGAGGGAGAGAGTCCCAGGAGCCCCCAAAACTGAGTGCTGTGACACTCAACGCCATCAGCCAGGACCGACATTGTTACCATCTCTGGCAAACTATTGTTGGACTGGTGTGGTCCCTCCACCAACATCAACAACACAGCTCCTCCATCCCTCTCGTCCAAGGTCCAGCACACTTCAAGGATCTGCAGCCCTTTTGGCAACGGAACCACGATGCCCCTTGTCTGCCCAGGCACTGTACTGGAGTGCTCTGTCCTCTCATTGAGCCTTGAAGCCTCCCAGAAGCTGGGCAAATGCACAGGTGGTGAAGCCAAGGCTTGCAGGGGTTGAATGTTGAATGGCTAACACTGGGCCTCAGGGTCACTGGGCCTCAATGGCATCAAAAGATGGGCTGGGGAAGTTTGCCCCACCCTTTACTTAGAATCTCAGGCTGGCCTCACTCCAGTAAGTTGTGTCTGTGAGGGACCGTGGAGCAGGGGGGTGTCTGTCCAGTAGCACCCAGATGGGAGTGTGTAATAGCTCATGTGCTCAACTGGAGCCCTCAAGAGCAGTCACAGCTCCAGCCTAGGCCCTGCTATCGACACAGGGTCCTGGACTCATGGAACACAATCCACTCACCCACAGTCACAGAGGATATCTGAGGTCCGGAGACCAAGAGTCGGACGTGAGGCCTCACTGGGGACACACATCCTCAAAGCATATTAGACCCAAGCACACATCCCCAACCTACCATCCTGAGACAGTGCTGACTCCCCGCCACTGTTCCTGGAAGGGTGTTATGAACACTGGAGCCATTGTGACCTCAGGGTGAGGTCAGGCAACCGAGAGAAGGGACAACGCCCATTACAGAGCTAGCCTGTTGTCGAGGACAGGGCTGGCAGTTGGGACCTGTGTGTCTCCTGCTCTGAGCCTCAACATGGACGGGCAGCAGTCTGACAGGTCACACAGTCGCAGCTCAGTTGATGGGACCTCATCGGCCATGTCCTACAACCCCAGGTCAGTTCTCATCCCTGGACCACACAGCCCTCAGGCACCTGGCTTTTCCACCTTCCAGGGCAGCAGCACACCACCCCAAAAGGTAAATCCTGGGTGGACCGAGCCAGCACCGTGTCTAGGGGTCTCATCTCCAACAGCAACCCAGGAGGGATTTGGGGTGGGTCCCATGATGCTGTTGCCCTGGGTGTGATGGCCAGAGTGGTAGATCTGGACCACAAGCTCTACCCTTACCATGGGAGGAAAGGGCAGCAACTGCTTATAAGGACCAGAAATGAAGATGAGCAAGGGTCACAGCACAGTGTGAGCCAGCAAGTGGACAGCCAGGCAGACAGGACAGGCTGCTGACTACTTCTGTGTTAGCTTCTTCAGGGCAGAATGGGAGAAATACAGCAACGCGTGTCCTTACAGACTTGACTGAGGAGAGGAGATTCTACCGTTCATTCATTTTACATACCCACGTACATGTACACACATACTCACACACATATACACACAAATGTATGTGTATACTCATATACATACACACATGCACATATACACATACACGT